AAAATTAAGCTATCCAACATTTATAGGATGTGATAACAGATATGCACATGTACAACAAAATCCCATTCTCTTACTCAGTTTATATTACACTCCTACAGAGAGAAAATAAATTCAGCAATATAACAATATTAACTATTAGCAGTAGTTCAGTCATGTTTCTATGTGATAAGTTGAAACAGTTTTTCTACCTCTCAAGAAAAAATTAAAAACTTAGAATGCAAATGAATATACAATGATAGGTTGCAATAACATTGAATCCTTTCTAACTTTGAAATACTGCAAACTTTTCATAAACTTTAATATCTATTTTTTAACCAGTTGTGAACAGAAGTGTCTTAAAATTGTGCTTGACATCTAAGGATGTAAATTATTAACTCAATTCAGAAAATAGTATGCTCACAGAAGTTGTGGGGGCTTTAAGGGACAGCTGCAGACTAAACTAGATCTAGAACACTGAGTACCATTTAAGTATGTTGTCAAGGGGGGTGAGTTTCTAGGAAAGGGAAAAGAGTAAATAGAATGAGAATGATAGGACAGAAAGAAAGGAACCTGACTTGAGATTAGATAAAATATTTCAAAATATATAGGCTAGAAGTTTAGATTACCAGACCTGGACATTAAGACTTCTAAAACTTGACTAACAAAAAATGTAGACAATACATACAAGACGAAGACAAAGAATGGGAGTGCTATGTCAGGAAAATGCAGGATCCAGGCACCACACGAAGAAGCATGCCAGTCATTCAGTATAAGTGCTGACCCTAGAAAACCGACAAATTGAGGAATCTGATCCTAGAATGAAAGGGAGTAGGGTGTACAAGTGTCTTTAAAATAAAACAACCTCAGTGCCCATCAACAGATGAATGGATAAGCAAATTTGGCCCGTGAACTCAATGGAATACTATGTAATGTTAAAGAAAAATGAAGAAGAAATCTCTAAACAATACACACGATGTATGAATCTAGAGGACATTTTGCTGAATGAAATAAATTTGTCACAAAAGGCTAAATGTGGTATGAGTCTATTATGATAAATAGTTGAGGAAAATGTATATATTCTTTGATTGTTACCGGCAATGTGAAAGGAGGATGAAAGGAGAGGGGTAACTAGATAATGAAACACCAAAAACCCAGTGCCGTCAAGTAGATTCAATTCTAACTAACCTCTGTGGGATTTCTATGTCTGTGAATCCTTCTAAGAGGAAACTACCCATCTTACAGGAGTAAGAGAGAGTTACTGGCAGATTCAACCACTGATCTTTTGGTTAGATGGACAATACAAATGCACCCCCCCACTACCAGAGCTCCTAGCTAGATAGCAGGTAAATATTAGCATGGATGAAGGGAAAGGTAACATATAGTAAGGATGCCATTAGCATAATATCTCTAAAAAAGGAGAAGACACTGAGAGATGTCCCAGAGATAGAGACATTGAAGGTAAGCATTATAAAATATTAAACTTGGACTAGTAATAATAACTGGAATTGGTCTACAAGTGAATACATAAGCAGACAGGGAAGAGGAACAGCTCTGGACAGAAGTAAAAGATACTTTATACTCATGACTATATCTAAGTTTGTGAGATGTTATTTTTACATACATATTTGTAAGTTCTGTTAATATATTCATGTATATGATAAACTAACAGGCAGCACAAGTTAGGTCAACTCCTTTATTGTGATCAAACACCTTGAGGGAATAAATTATTAGTCCTGGATCTCAGGACCAGATCCCCAGGGAAGAAGATCAAGGTCAATTGGCATATCATAGTCCACAAAACAATGTTCTCCATTGTTCGATGAGAAGCTACTGAACACTCTTAAAAGTTTTTGAACAGTCATCTAAAGTGCAATGATTGATCTTTCCCTGTCTAGAACAAAGAAAATAAAAGAAAATTCAAGACACATAGAAAGACTTGTCTAAAGGACTAATTGCTGTGTGCTATGGAGTCAGAACTAACACAGAGCTGACCCTCTATCAGGTTTTCAGAGGCAGTAGATCACACTGGGAAAAGAGTGCCCACCTTCCTTTAGCAGAACAGCTGGTGGAATCCAACCACATGCCTGTAGGTTTGCACCATAGCTTCTTATCACTCGGCCGCCAGAGCTCCCTTAGATCACGTGAATCGGTGAAGCAAAAGATAGGAGAGGTTCCAAAGAAAGAAGGAAAAGTCTTATATGAATCATATTCGCTCTTATGCAATACTTTAAAAAAATCTTTCTTCTTTGTATTTAATTTTAAGTGACTATTTCTGTAGACAAAATATATCATCAGTTAAAGTAATTTCTATGCTTTAAAGTTGTTCTTTGTTTTATTCAAAGGATCCTGAGGGATCAGAAGTTGACCTGGTGGAAGAAAATGATTATACTGGAATTATCTCTTTTCCTGATTTCAAGATTCCAAGCAATCCTAAGTATTTTAAAGTGTTTGTTAATAAGGTTTTCTCTGAAAAACACATTCAGATTACACCTACAAATGGCCACGAAGACTTTAAAACAAAGCCATGTCATGGTTGTGTTGTGTTTGCTCTGCCCTCTAGAGGAGTATTTAGAGTTAATCCACTACACAGGAAATTTTCTAGAAATTTGTATATATTGGAAGATTTGAATAATAATTTGAGTGATCTTAAAGTTGAATGGTATCTTGAAAATACTAGACACTCTATAATATAGAAGTGAATTTATTATACTATTGCTGCTGTCATGGATCCAATTTCATCTTACACCATTTGCTCCTGGGCTTTTCTGTCATGGCATACTTCAATGAGTTTGTATCTCACCACTCAATTTAGGATGTACTTTGCGTAACTCTTCACAAAGTTGGCCTTTTCTCAGTATTTTAGAACACAGGACAAATGTTACGTTTCAACCTAATGTAGTTCTTCATTTTATTATCTTTCTCAGCATCTTGTTTGTTTCCATCATGACATAAATCTCAATTTAATAGTTACTTATTTCTTCAGTTGTTTATCTTTTTATTTCCCACTATAACATAAATTCCTTGAGGGCAGGGACTGTGTCTTGCTCATGGTTGGATCTCCACCACCTCAATGTACTACTCACTATTCACTGGATTGATGATAATTATAAGAAGAACCACAATAATAACCTTTCTTGATTAAATAACCAATCTCCGAGGCAGATATGGTCTTTTCTATTTTACAACTGAAGTTAAATGACTTGTCAAAGTCCAACTTGCTAAAAAAAATGGAGAAATGGAAGTGAATTCTTGGGACCTATAAACTCTGTGAAGGGAGGAACTATTCTATTTTATTCACTTTTTTCTCCAGTTCTTAATCTAGTGCTCAGTAACTATTTATTAAAACAGGCTTGATTTATTAATACAGGCTGTTAACTCAAAGATTTTCCTTTTAAGCCATGTTTTGTCTCCAACCATAATTTCATATTCTGCAAGGTGTGAATTTTGCCATGTGGATAGGATTGTCCTGTATTATGGTGCCGTCAAGTCAGAATCAAGTCATAGTTGAGCCTCCAGTGGTTTTTCAGAGGCTGTAAATCACACTGGAGGAAATTTCCCATTTTTTCTTCCACAGAGCAGCTGGTAGAATCAAACTGCCCGCCTTTAGATTGGCAGTACAACTCCTTACCCACCAAGTCATTAGAACTCCTTTATGCATTTCCAGAAAACCCATTATGGATTATCTACTATATTATAGGTCATGTTATTATATTTAAGCTCCAGGATTAATTCTCAAGTGTCATAAATCCTTCCAAATCAAGACTTTCAACTATACTGTAAAAATTTAGAAAAATAATTCAATGTATGAAAATCTAACTGCTGAACTATTTCATTTATTCTGAAAGTGCCCAATTACATATGCTTATCACATCAAAGCCTGTCACAAATTAAACATAGTGCTTATACTATACCTTCACATGCCTTTTCATCTTTAAAATAGAAATTGATTCTATTTTCTCAAGGTGAAATTAAAAATACCTGATGCCATCTGTAATTTTCAGTATCTTACCTTCTCAGATATGGTGTGTGGACAATTCAAGCTAAATATAGAGACGACTTTTCAAAAACTGGAAGCACGTATTTTGAAATTAAAGAATATGGTAATTTCTGACAAGAATTTTACTTTGCAATTCTTATTTTACAATAATTAATTATATTTTTATTATGTACTTTAAAACAAAGTCATTCCTGGAGTAATGAGGGAGTCTGTCAGTATGATACTGGTCAGAGTGGGTAAATCGAATGTCTCAGTTCTAGTTTCCATTTTTCCTTACTAATCTTGAGCAAGGCAGAGCAAACTCTTTGGGCCTACATTTTTCATCATAAAGTCAAACGCACATAGTTGTGTGAGGAACTTGACTAATTTAGGTTCTTTCCAGAACTATAATTTTAGGAGAACTTTAAACCATTGGCAATGTGATAGGTGGAACCCAGTACAATTAATTAAGGATTTGTTTAAGTTTTATGATCAATTTATGATAGAACAAGAACAACTTCAGACTTCTTTACTCCTAGTCTAGTGCTGCCTTCTTTCTGACCCACAGATCTCTAGTGCATTTATTTGGAAATTTAATCTATTCTTATTTTGAAATCAGTCATATTGAATGGATTCATTGTTACAGTGGTAGCCCATGTGCATTCCTATAGAACTGCGCTCCATAGTTTTCAGTGGTTGATCTCCCACAAGTGGATCAGACCCTTTTAAGGAACCTTTTGGTGAATTTGAACTTCTGACTTTTGGTCTAGAAGCCAAGCACATGAACTGTCTACACCACTCTAAGACTAATAATTAATAAGTTGGTGTACCATTGAGCAGAACCAATCCACAGCTGACCCTCCAGCAAGTTTTCAGAGACAATAATCACACAGGAGGAGATTGTCTATCCTTCTCCCAAGGGGCAGCTAGTGGATTCCAACGTAAGCCTTAGGGATTGCAGTGCAGATAATTTCTATTTCTTACAGCAGTCTAATAAAGTATTTATGCACTTTTAACAAATGACCTTTCTTCTGTTTGAAGCCATTTTTTAATGCTATCAGCAGAGCTAATGGAGAGAAAAAGAATCACACAAATTTGACTAGCAAACAAAAACAATGGCATGACAAATTTGTTGTGATGAAATTCAACTTAAAGATAATAGACTCAACATCATATGATTCTAAGCAATCCACCTAGTATTTCAGACGCATCTAGAATTCATCCACCTCTTGCTGTCTGTAGCCACCTTAACCCATATCACTAGGCTTCAACCTGCAGTACTGCAATAGCCTCCCCACTGGTGTTCTTATTGCTTAAGATAAGCCAAAACAAACTTGAAAAGAAAATCTGATTGTGTAATCTCCCTATGGAAAATTCCCCAATTTTCCCCTGTTCTTGTTATAATGAAAATGAAAATCTTCACTCTGAGCTTCCAAGCACCTCTTCAACTTTCAAATTTATTTTATTTTCTTTTAATTTAATTTTATTATTTTGTGTTTGCGTACCATCAAATCGAATCTGACTGGTACAGGAGGAGATTGCCCCTCCTTCTCCAGCAGAGCATCTGGTGGATTTGAACTTATTTTATTTTATTTTGTTTTGTTTTATTTTATACTGCTCTCCACCTCACTGTCTCCCAGCAGTGTTGGCTTTGCACTTGATATTTCTTCTGCCTGGGACATTTTTCGCCTCCTTTGATGGTTAGGCAACTCCTACTCAAGTTTCACTTCTTAATTGAAAAACTGCTTCTTCATAGGAGCCCTTGGACTTCTTCATATCAGTTTTCACAACTGTATGTTAGGAGACTATTTAAGTATTATTTATCACTGCCTGGTTTCCTTGTGTGTCTGTGAACTCATTTCAGGACCGGGGACTGTAATGTGTCTCTCTCATTCATTAGTATGGGAGGCTAGCAAATGGTGGCTCAGTATCTGATGTCCTTGCATACCACCAAATGGATTCTGACTTATAGCCACAAATACTATATATAGAGTAGAACCGCCCCATGGAGTTTCATATACTAAAATTTTTATGGAAGCAGGTAATCAAGTAATAGCCCAAGGAGCAGCTTGTGGATTTGAACTTCTGTCCTTTCAGCACCTAACTCCACCAGAGCTCCTTTATTTAATAAGGTGAACCATTTCCTTACTTCCCCTATCCTGGAGAGAACTCATCTGCTTCGATCTTTGGTGAGAGATTGATACATTGCATTTCTCTTTGCTTCTAACCTTCACCATCTAGGTCACATGAGCTATACCTGATGCCATGTTGAAACATGATGTATTGGACATTGGATAGATTTTATCTGTTGTTGTTGTTGTTATGTGCCGTTGAGTCACTTGCGACTCATAGCAACCCTATGCAAAACAGCCCTAAACTCTGCTCTGTCCTGTGCCAATCACACTGTCTCTGACACGCCTATCCCGATTACCCCAGTCACTGAATCAATCCACCTCATAGAGGGACTTCCCCTCCTGCGCTGTCCCTCCACCCTCCCAAGCATGATGTCCCTCTCCAAGGACCGGGCCCTCCTTACAACATGTCCAAAGAATGTTAGACAGAGCCTAAGAACCCTTGCCTCCAGGGAGATGTCCAGTTTAACCCTCTCCAGGATGAATCTGTTTGTTTTCCTAGCAGTCCATGGTACCCTCAGTACTCTTCTCCAGCACCACAGCTCAAAGGCATCAATTCTCCTTCTATCCTCCTTAGTCACTGTCTAACTCTCCAATGCATAACAAGTGATAGCAAAGAGCATGGCCTGTATCAGATGCACCTTAGTCTCCATAGAGACACCATTGATCTTCAGTGCTTTAAGATTTTATCTACTCAATAAAAAAGGAAAGTGCCTTTTTATTTCTTTATTTTTAATTTTTTAAATTTTCTTTTTGTTGACATTTGTTGTTCTACTTGAAGACATATGAAGGAAAGATAAACACAGATAAAGAATAGATTCATTTGTGTATTTTTAAGGAGCCCATCTTCTATTGGAAGAAATAACCAACTGCCTATAACAAGTGCCATAATCAAAGCATTAGGAAAGTGATTCTGATGCACAGATACTTTATTGACTTTGGATTTGTGGAATGGGAAGGATTCCTGAGAAACATAAGTGCTGTTGTTGCTGATGATAAGGATGTTGTGCTGAAGTTAATAGTTTCTCCAAATGACTATGTAAAAAAAGTATAGTTGGTTGGTATGCTTTTAAGTTATTCTAATTTAAATACACTAAAACTGTGTCTGTTTTTTTTTTCATTTTCAGTGTTGCCACATTTTTCTGTCTCAATAGAACCAGAAAATAATTTCATTGGCTATAAGAACTTTAAAAAATTTGAAATTACTATAAAAGCCAGGTAAGAGAGTCATTCTTTTCAGATTGTGCTGCAAAATTGGGTGCAACTGTCATAGCTTCCTAAAGTGAGTTGTAGTTTATTACTGTCATCTGCCTTAATTTGGGGAATTAACACCTGAAGTTACATCATGCCTATAGTTTATTTCATGATTCTGATTTTAGCCATTCAGCAGCAAAGAATCCTAAATATTTACACTCAATGTATATGTTTAGTAACCAGAATAGCTTAGAACACTGAGAATTACTTAGAAAGTTTGGATTGACAAGCCATCACTTCTACCACTTTCTTTTGAATTGATTTCTAAAATTTACAGAAAACTCCAACACTTCAACAGGAAAAAGTCAACCTAATTACAAAATGGGCATTGTTGTTGTTATTATGTGCCATCGAGTCGCTTGCGACTCATAGTGACCCTATGTGCAACAGCCCTAAACCCTGCTCTATCCTGTGCCAATCGCATTGCCTCTGACACACCTATCCTGATTACCCCAGTCCCTGAATCAATCCACCTCATAGAGGGTCTTCCCCTCTTGCGCCGTCCCTCC